TAACTTGCAGAAAAAGCAAAAAAGCATGTAAACACTGGGTATTTTTAAACTCAAGACAAAATTTTGAATCTATTTAGCAGTTTTTTTCATTCGCTTTTGTAGATGAGTAAAAGATTTTTCAAGTAAAAGTCAAAAAACATGTATTTTTTTCAATTTTTCATCATTTTTTTTATTTTTAATTACATTACATGAGATTATATAAATAATGGTATGTAAAGAAAGTCCTTTTTTGTCCTGAAAAAAAAAATATATAATTCGTATAGGAACAGTAAATGAGAGAGCGGAAAATTAGAGCTAAACACAAACACCACAAAAGTGTAAAAAGAGGCCTGGTCGCAAATGTACAACATCGCAAAAACAGTCCAGTCCTTAAGGGGTTAAGTCTCTGTGAGAGCAATTACATGGCCCCGGGGTCCTAACTTGCCGGAGAGGCACTGCCTGGGCTGTCAGACAGTCTCCCAGAAGCGTATCGCCGTGAAGGTAAGTATTGTGAACCTCCTGGGGCTTAAAGCTCTCACGGTTTAGATATTCTAAGCGCCAAGACCACTTTAGCTCGAAGGGACACTATAGTCACCAGAACAACTACAGCTTAATGTAGGAGTTCTGGTGAGTATAGCCAGTCCCTGCAGCCTTTTTCAGAGAAAAGTCAGTGTTTACATTGCTCCTTAGGGACACCTCCAGTGGCCACTCCTCAGATGACCACTAGAAGTGCTTTCTGGGGCAGTGCTGCACAGTGTGCAACACTGATGTTCAGCGTCTTCACGCTCTGCATGAAGATGCTGAACTTTCCCCATGGAGATGCAGTGATTTTTTTTTTTTTTTCTATATTTAGCATTTTTAGTCATAAACACATAGGGGTGAGACATTACAATTCAAAACTGAACCGTTGTCGGAACATAGGATGCAAGCAATATATGCATAAGGAAGTACATTTGTTAAACAAAAGGCTCTATAATGGGTAGTCTCCCTGTGTCTGGAAATTATGTTGTCATCCAGGGGCACATGGCCTCAGGAGATGCAATGATTTAATAGACCTCTATGAAGAGATGCTGATTGGCCAAGCTGGTGTTTGGCCCTACCCCTCCCTGCCTAAATGGTGGTTTTAACACTATAGGGTAAGAAATAGAAGTTTGTGTTCCTGATCCTACAGTGGTTTTAGTACTATTTTAGTGTATAGATCATGTCCCTGCAGTTCCACTGCTCAATTATATGCTATTTAAATGACTTCTGTTTCTGTGTACGCAGCCCTAGAACACACTGTGCTGTCAGATATGAATGAACATGAAACATTTTTTTTATTATTTTGGCTGGGTGAGTCATAGCAAGGGAATATTTTATTAATTGTATTTATAAAATATTTTACCAGGATGGATACATTGAGATTTCTCTAATTTTCAAGCATGTCCTGGTCCAAAAAACATTGCATTGTTACAATAGGATACAATATTGCAAAAATTACAATATACAAACTATATATATATAGAGAGAGAGAGAGCGAGAGAGAGAGAGAGTTTGTATATTGTAAAATTACAATATACAAACATCTATATATATATATATATATATATATATATATAGATGTTTGTATATTGTAATTTATGCAATATTGTATCCTATTGTAACAATGCAATGTTTTGTGGATATTGCATTGTATATATACACATATATACACACATATATAAATTTAACACATAACAGGTGATACATTTATTCAACCATGACACGTGCATAATGTAATTACTTTACCCCCCACTGTGACATGTTACAAGAGCTAAACTGGCTGTCGTTGGAATCCTGACGCACTCTTCATCTTTCCAGCTTGCGCATAAGAGCATTTCTGAGAAGCTCCCACCCTACCTGAGTAGAATGCTCTCCCCGGCTGTTACCACCTCCTATAACCTCCGATCCAGTACTAGCACGATATTTAGAATACCGCAATACAAAAAATAAAGTGGCTCGATCCTCCTTTTCCTACAAAGCACCACAATTATGGAATAACCTCAGGGACACAGTCAAATCTTCATTCAATCTAAAATATTTTAAGAGATCTATGGCAATATACCTCAGCACAGAATGCACCTGTCATGGTTGAATATATTTATCACCTGTTATATGTTAAATTTATTTATATATATATATATATATATATATATATATATATATATATGTGTGTGTGTGTATATATAGTTTGTATATTATAATCTTTTAATATTGTATCCAATTGTAACAATGCAATGTTTTGTGGACCCAGGAAATCTCAATGTATCCACCTGGTAAAATATTTTATAAATAAAATAAATAAAAATAAAATCTTCCCTTGCTATGAGTCATACAGCCAAAATGAAAACTTGTTTCATGTTCATTCATATCTGACAGCACAGTGTGTTTACTTTAGATGTTTGGTTTTTTAATCTCCTCTCCTGTTAATTTGACATTAATCACACTCCTGAAGGGGGCTCCTGAAGGTTAACAGAGCAGGAGATAAGAAATTCTTATTTAAACGGACTGTGTCATAAAGGACGTTAATACATTAAATCTCTCTTTAAGTAAATGTGTAGGGAGACTGTGCAGGTCACTTGCAGGAAGGTGTGGCTAATAAACAAAGTGATTTAACCCTTAAATAGAGAATTATTCAGTAAGAATGCAGAGGCATGATATATACACCAAAATCATTCCATTAAGCTCAAGCTGCTTCAGTACTTATAGTGTAATTTTATGACGCAAGAGTGAAAGCTGCTTTGTCAAGCTGACATTGTAGTTAACACCATGCTGATAAGGTAGTAGAGCCCATTATGAAGACAGCCAAATAAGTAAATCCCATCCTATTAAAGTTCGGTCACCTCTGATGACCTGCTAACACTCTATTGAACTTTGTCTTCTCTCAGAAAACCAGTGTACACATATATACAATGTTATTAAACTATATAGAAGACAAAGTAAAAAAAAAGATTGTAAAACCCTTTTGAGATTTGTCTCATTCAGTGAAAATGCTCTCGCATGAAGAGATGTGATGACTCTTATTTCTTTTGACCTTCACATAACCTTGCTGATGTGAGTTAGAAATGGGGAGCTGGGATAAGAGCCTAAGGTGGTTTAACAGTAATTCCTGTTCACAGACATGTGAAATATCAAATTCAATTTTAAAGACTATAAAAATTATGTGAACAATGACCTTTTTTTCTCGGTCATGTGTGATAAGAGGAAAAAAAAACACGCCTTTCTTAGAACATCATCTACTCATTGTCTGCACTGAAGGCAAAACCTGCTCCGTAGAAATAAATATACTTTCTCTATAATGCTGGCCTTGGTAACTAATGGACTTAAAATGGCTTTTGCAAACTTTCTATCTTCTATTGTGTGAGAACATTTTTGTGTACTTTATATGAATGATAGGGAAGTGCTGAATGTTGTTTAATGTGTGTTTCTACGGTAAAAGTGCTTGAATTGTTGGCTATTTTATGTTCTGCTCAGTTTGTTAGTAAAATATTTTCTCAATTCATACAGTTTTTTAAAAATGTCTTTCTGTTTGAGTAGATAATAATTCACATAATTGGTTTTGGAAAACAGTACTACATCTTTATATGATATAAAACAAAACAAAATTCCATGGTCACTACATGCCAAAAAGGGAAAAAATAAATATTTTATACGCATATATGTGTGTTTTTATAACACAAAAAGGATACATATCTAAATATATATGTATATGTAATAATTGTATTTTAAAAAATAATAAAAAATAAATTGTTATTTCTAGACCCCTAACGTAGATTCCTTGTCATTTTGTAATATCACATCCTCTCATTTACTCTTTACTCTAAACCTAATCCCTGGCAAGGATTATCTTCTGGAAAACTTACTTGACATCATATCCCTGGTGGGTATCATACCCTAAGCACTATTATTTGAGCAGTGTTACTGCTCTAGCAAGTGTAAGTAAATTACCATTGTTATGTTATTCATATCTGGTTTTATCATAGTAAGCACTATTGTTTGCCTTTGTATTTTACTCAAAAATTAAGAAAAAGAAACACAAACACACATACACACACACACACATACACAGAGTAGTGCACACTGTGGCTGTCTGTGTAGACCTGGACATATACAAGTAGTTCTAGAAGGAAATAGAAAGTATAAATATGTGTGATACAAAATAAGGAGATATCACTATAAAATATACAAATTAGATAAGATTATATTACATAATCCTTAGATGGAGTAACGATGTCACAATTTGGATTTAGAAATGCATAAGTAGAAATACTGGGCTTTATTCAAACTGGCCCTTTTAGTCTATGCTGTAAAATATCTAAGTCTGGTATAGAACACCCAAATAAGGAAAGAATGATGTGGTTACCACTTTAAAGTTAACCTAATATAATGCAGACACCCTCTCATATAGAATGGAATCTAACTACCTAATATGGGCAAATATACAAGATGATAATTAAACAAGTAGCTCTAACCAATTTCCCTGAAGGAGACCAGCATGCAGAGACATGGGGTCTGTACAATACGCACGTGATAAGGTCGAGCAACACAACACACATATCGCAAAGCTAAGATACCCGCTAGACGCTAGACCAACAGCACACGCAAGTGGCGACATTACGACCTGCACTCCATACTATACTTGCGACCCCGAGAAAGGTAGCAAATACGGATTGGGAAAATACGAACGTTAAAAGAGTAAAGGTTAAAATTGTAAACGCTAACATTGAAAATTGTGGAATGCGAAATGTGTATTGTGGACTATACAATGTACCTATCAGAGGCAGAGAGTTGAACGTGTAAACAACATTGCCTAGATCCCTCCCCACCTCCCCTTTTCGTTTTGTACCCCCCCATAAACTGCTTTTTGAAATATGACAAAATAAAAATTGTCAAATTGAAAAAAACCAAGTAGCTCTAAAGGGGTTCTGATTAGAAGGTGTATAGATTCAAAAATAGAAAATATAGATACATAGAATAGTTGTCCCCAGAGAGCTATAAATATATTATATAAAATGGATATAGCCCTAGACTAAAGAGTAGTTAGAGAGTATAGTGGACTAACTACTCTTTAGTCTAGGGCTATATCCATTTTGTATAATATATTTATAGCTCTCTGAGGACAACTATTCTATGTATCTATATTTTCTATTTTTGAATCTATACACCTATTAAACCTATAGTGCCAGGAAAACGGGTTTGTTTTCCTGGCACTATAGGATCCCTTTAAAAAGACTGGAAATACTCAATTTTAAATACCCTGGTTTGTCTTTTGCAATTGGGGGTTATTTTCATTCCTGGGACACCATAGATCTCAAAGGCAACAAAGGCCCAGAAAGACAAACTAACAAATTTCAAAGTGTAAAACTGAAATGGACAAGCTATAGCTTTCCAAAACACCATGAAACCTGTACATTGGGGGCAATGTTGTATTTATGGGACATCACAGCATAAAAAAAACATGTGTTTTATTACAGTAAAAGCCAACAGTATTATGACATTCACAGTTAAAATGCCATGCAGAACTTTGAAAATACAAATTTTTTTATTATTTCTAGCACATTTTTATTTTATTTTATTCATATGAAATTATGTTTTGTATATAAATCTGATATGAAATGATGTGAAATGAAATCACTATATCCCCTGAACAAAATAATATATAATAAGTGTGGGTTAAATTACAGTTGAACAGACATTTAGCTCAAATTGTAGGTTTTGTTTTCGTCAGAACTTGTATAATTACCTCCATCCTTAAGGGGTTAAATGTTCATGTCCAAATGTTGATATGTGAACCAACCTCAATGCTAAGCCAGCAATAGGTCTGCATGTGCATGACAGGAGCTGATACAAAACAGGTTGCGCCAGATACAGAGTATCACAAGTCTAATATTTCAAAAGATTCTTGGGAAATCCCTGGTTTTAAATCTTCCAGGCTTCAGATTGTGGTAGAAATATGTAATAAATCATACAGATTTTCTGATATTAGGTGTAGCTTGCAAAAAAAATTGATCAATACTTGATAAAGGCTCAGAGAGGAGCTGAAACATTGTTAAAAAAAACTGCCATTTAGAAGAAACCTCAGGTGTGCCTGGATATTTATTTTCTTCCATTTGATATTAGTTGTAGGACACACAACAAGTATGTGTGGACTCTCACTCACATTTAATAGAGCTATAGACTCTGAGTAAAACAGCATACAGCGGTACAATTCCTGCTGATAGATATGTAGCTTTTGAGAGTTAGTGTCTCAGCATCCAGATTAATGTAGGGAGTAAAATACAAAGGCAATAGAAATAGGTTGGTTAATCAATGTTAGGAATAAAGCACAAATGTGATATTCCAGCACCGAGAAGCCAACTATAGTGCCAACAAAGAGATTCCAGAGGTCTCCAGGGGCTTAACCCCAGTATACTCAAAAAATGGTTAAAACCACTTCAGCCACTTACCTGAGTCCAGCGCCGATGTCCCTCGGCCCTGGGTCAGGTTCCACGCAAGCTCCTCCCCCGCCGACGTCATCGACGGGGGAGACCTAATGCGCATGCGCGGCAAAAGCCGTGCGCACATTAGACCTTCCCATAGGAAAGCATTGTTCAATGCTTTCCTATGAGGAAAATCTGACGCTGGAGGTCCGTGAGGACGTCCAGTGTCAGATAACCGACCAAAGGTCAGTTTGGATTCCAGAAGCCCTCTAGTGGCTGACTGTTAGAAAGCCACAGAGGGCAGTCTTAGAGCTGCAATGTAAACAGTGACACACACACACACACACACACACAAGCTCACTACAGAAAACTAACACACAGACACAAGCTCACTGACACACAAACTCACACAGCTCATTACAGACAGCTTACTCACATGCACACAATGCTCACTAAACACAAATTATTGGACACACACACAAACACACTACACACACAAGCTCACTGACGCACACACAAGCTCACTAAACACAATCTCTTAGACACAAACACAAGTTCACTACACAAACACAAGCTCAGTGACACACACACAAGTTCACTAGACACAAGCTCACTGACACACAAGCTCACTAAACACACACACAAGCTCACTAAACACAGACTCATGGACACACACCCAAGCTCACTGACACACACACACATACCAGCTCACTAAACACAGGTTCACTACACACAGTCTCACTGACACACACACAAGCTCACTAAGCACAGGCTCACTACACACAAGCTCACTGATACACACTCACAAGTTCACTAAACACAAGCTCTATGACACACACACATACGCTCACTAAACACACAAGCTCAGTGACATATGTACACACAAAATCACTAAACACAAGCTCACTGACACACATAAGCTCAGTGACACACAAGCTTACCAAACATACACACAAGCTCATTAAACACAAGCTCACTAAACACACACACATACACAAGCTCACTAAACACACACTTGCTGACATACACACACCCAAGCTCACTAACACACTCACTCACACACACACGTTAACTAAACACAAGCTCTGACACACACACACACACAAGCTCAATACACACACAAACTCACTAAACACAAGCTCACTGACACACTCAAGTTCATTAAACACAAGCTGGCTAAACACATTTTTTGACGCGCACACACACAAGCTCACTACATTCACAAGCTCACTAAACACAAGCTCTTTGACACACACAAGTTCACTAAACGCAAGCTCACTGACACAAGCTCACCAAACACACACACAAGCTCACTAAACACAGACTCGCTGACACACACAAGCTCACTGACACACATCAGCTCATTAAAAACAAGGACAGAAGGTGCCTGTAGAAAATGTGTTAAAAAATGATAAGAGCCATGGCTACAAATGCTGGCAATTTAGGGAATAAGATCCATGAACTTGTGGCAATAATGGCAACTAATAATGTAGATTTAGTTGCTGTTACTGAGACATGGTATAATGAGAAAAATGACTGGGACATAGTAATACCAGGGTACTCTTTATATAGAAAAGACAGGGAAGGCAAGAAAGGGGGAGGGATGGCCCTGTATGTGAAGAATAGCATAAAATCTAGCCTAATAAAAGTTAGGGAGGCAACCATAGAGTCCATTTGGGTTATGTTAGAATTTGGTAATCACACAGTAACTTGTGTAGTTGTGATTTATAGGCCCCCAGCACAAATAGAAGAGTTAGATAATCTTCTAGTTGAGGAAATAGCTAAAATGACAATGAATGGGATAGTTATCATCATGGGTGACTTTAATCTTCCTGATGTGAATTGGGAAACAAAAATAGCTGCGTGTGCCAGAAGCACACATGTTCTTAACTCCCTACTTGTATTGCCTCTAAAACAAGTCGTTGAGGAGCCAACTCGTAAAGAGGCCATACTAGATTTAGTGTTAACAAATGGAGATTTGGTATCAGATATTACTGTAGGGGAAAGTTTAGGATCCAGTGATCATCAGTCAGTGTGGTTTAATATAAGAACAGTGACTGAGTCACACCGCACAAAAACAAACGTTTTAGACTTTAAAAAAAACAGACTTTTCTAAAATTAGAATATGTATAAAGGAGTCATCAGACTGGAGCAATTTAAATTGAGTCCAAGAGAAATGGGATTATTTAAATGTTGCACTGCTGAATGCTACAGAAAATTGCATTAGGCTCAGTAAAAGCAAAACATTCAAGAAACCACTGTGGTACTCTGCAGATGTGGCCAAAATAGTAAAAAACTAAAAGTTAGCATTTGGTAATTATATAAAAAACCAGAGTGAGGAAGACAGAATGATCTATAAGATTAGGCAGAAAGAGGCTAAGCAAGTTATAAGAGCTTCCAAATCACACACAGAAGAGAAAATAGCACAGTCAGTAAAAAAAAAAAAAGGACAAAACATTTTTAGATACACAAATGAGAAAAGGAAAGTAAAACAAGGATTAGTTAGATTGAAAACAAAAGCAGGAAGGTATGTAGAAGAGGATAAAGGTCTAGCTGATTGCCTCAATGAATATTTTTGCTCTGTATTTAGAGATGAAATTAAAGAAAAGGGGCCTCAGTTAGGAAAAAGGACAAATGAGTCATTTGTTACATGTGAGTTTACAGAGGAAGAGGTTCTATTACAACTATCAAAAGTAAAGACAAATAAGCCAATGGGACCTGATGGAATACACCCAAAGTTATTAAAAGAGTAGTCCCAGAAGATTGGAAGTTAGCGAATGTTGTGCCCATTCACAAAAAAGGTATTAGGTTGGAGTCGGGAAACTATAGGCCAGTAAGCCTTACTTCAGTGGGGAAAGTAATCGAAACCATGTTAAAGGATAGGATAGTTGAACATCTAAAAACACATGGATTTCAAGATCAGAGACAACATGGGTTTACTTCAGAGAGATCATGCCAAACTAATCTTGATTTTTTTTTTTGATTGGGTAACTAAAATAATAGATCAGGGTGGTGCAGTAGATATTGCTTACCTAGATTTCAGTAAGGCTTTTGACACTGTTGCACATAGAAGGCTCATCAATAAACTACAATCTTTAAGTTTGGATTCCAATATTGTTGAATGGGTAAGGCAGTCGCTGAGTGACAGGCAACAGGGGGTTGTAGTCAATGGAGTATATTCGAAGCATGGGCTTGTCACCAGTGGGGTACCTCAGGGATCTGTACTTGGACCCATTCTCTTTAATATTTTTATTAGTGATATTGCAGAAGGTCTTGATGGTAAGGTATGTATTTTTGCTGATGATACTAAGATATGTAACAGGGTTGATGTTCCAGGAGGAATAAACCAAATGGCAAATGATTTAGATAAACTAGAAAAATGGTCAGAGTTGTGGCAACTGACATTTAATGTGGTTAAGTGCAAGATAATGCATCTTGGACGTAAAAACCCAAGGGCAGAGTACAGAATATTTGATAGAGTCCTAACCTCATCATCTGAGGAAAGGGATTTAGGGGTGATTATTTCTGATTACTTAAAGGTAAGTAGACAATGTAATAGAGCAGCAGAATGCTTGGTTGTACAGGGAGAGGTATTAGCAGTAGAAAGAGGGAAGTGCTCATGACATTGTACAGAACACTGGTGAGACCTCACTTGGAGTATTGTACGTAGTACTGGAGACCGTAT